AATGGATGTTAAACTTGCTTTTCTCCATGGTGACTTGGATGAAGAAAATTATATGGAGCAGCCGGAAGGTTTTGAAGTCAAGGGAAAAGAGAATTATGTTTGCAAATTGAAGAAGAGCTTGTATGGCTTAAAACAAGCTCCCAGGCAATGGTACATGAAGTTTGGTTCTTTAATGAGTCAGCAGGGCTTCAAGAAGACTTCTTCAGACCATTGTGTTTTTGTGCAAAAAATCTCTGATGGTGACTTTATTATCATTTTACTTTATGTTGATGACATGCTTGTTGTTGGTCATAATGCTTGCAGGATTAAAGAGTTGAATAAGTTTTTTGCTATGAAAGACTTTAAGACCAGCAAGACAGATTCTTGGCATGCAGATTGTCCGTGATAGAGATGCTAAGAAGTTGTGGTTGTCACAAGAGAAGTATATTCAGAAAGTACTTTGTAGATTCAACATGGACAACGCTAAGGTTGTCAATACACCTTTAGCTATGCACTTCAAATTGAGTACTAGACATTGTCCTTCCAGTGATGGTGAGAAGGAAGATATGAAGAAAGTTCTTTATGCTTCAGTTGTTGGCAGTTTGATGTATGCAATGGTTTGTATAAGACCAGATATTGCTCATGCTGTTAGTATTGTTAGTCGTTTTCTTTCTAATCCGGGAAGAGAGCATTGGAATGTTGTTAAGTGGATTATGAGATATCTTTGTGGCACTTCTAGTTTGAGTTTGTGTTTTGGTACAGGGAAGCCTATTCTTTGTGGCTCCACTAATTCAGACATGGCTGGTGATGTTGATACTCGTAAGTCTACTTCAGGCTACTTGATTACTTTTGCAGGGGAGCTGTGTCTTGGCAATCTAGGTTGCAAAAATGTGTTGTTTTATCTACTACAGAGGCTAAACTTATTGCTGCTGTTGAAGCTTGCAAAGAGTTGATATGGATGAAGAGATTTTTGGGGGAACTTGGTTGTGCTTAAGAGAGGTATGTGCTTTATTGTGATGGTCAAAGTGCTATTCATCTTGGCAAGAATTCTACATTTCATGATCGGTCTAAACACATTGATGTGAGGTATCATTGGATTCGAGATGTCTTGGATTCTAAGTTGCTTGAACTTGAAAAGATCCATACCAATGATAATGGTTCCGACATGATGACTAAAGCTTTGCCAAGAGGGAAGTTTGAGGATTGTTGCATGATCGCCGGGATGGCGATCTCCTCCACATAGTTGTGAGGGGGAGAATTGGGTTTTATTTGCCGTGATTTCTTACCATAAATAAGTTTTCCTTTTAGGAAAAGGTATAAGATTAGCTAGTCCTTTTCTTGTAGGAAAGGGTTTAGGACTCTAATAGAGACTTGTTGAGTTCTCCACATCTGTTTCTTGCAATTCAACGGTGTAGAACGAATTTGGAGGTCTGTAGGTTCTGATTTGAGGGCGTGAACAGTAGCACGTTTTGGGGTGAAATCTCTTCTTTAATTTTCTAGTTTTGGTGCAATCTTGATTTGTTGTTGCTCGTTGTTTGGCGCTTGTTTTGTGGCCAATTTTGGAGAACAATTTTGTAACTCTTGGTGTTTATAGTGGAGCTTTTGGTCCTGTGGTTTTTTTACTCTTCACGTTGAAGGGTTTTCCACATAAATCGTTGTGTCTTGTGTGATTGGTTTATTCTTATCTTGTTACTTTAGTTTGGTTGATATACTTGCTGTCCATTCTTCATATTGCTTGATTTGGTTTGTCTTCTCTTGGTTCAAATTAAAAGGGAAAGTTTAGATTTTGATATTATTCCACTGCTATCTTGTCTGGCATTCTTGTTAGTGCCTTGCCTTTCCCAACATTTCATCCTATGCTCATTCCACACAATTAAAACTCGGGATCCAAACTAGCCCTTTACTAGCCTAAATTTGACATTCTCCGGAACTGACAAAATCACCATCCGACACTCAGATCTCGAAATGTTGACTAAATCAACTCTCTCAAAATGAATCACCTAAAAAACCGCTAAAATCACTCCCCCAACACTTTGGGAACCATGCCAACCAACCCTACATCACAAATAAAGCAAAACACAACTATGGAGAAGGACAAAATAATTATTTTATAGAAAAAGTAAAAAAAAATATGAAACTGGATATAACAACTAGGTACTTGGGAAATGGAAAACGATTTTGTAAATAAAGATAAGATGGATTTTATTATTTATTTATTTATTTATTTATCTTTATCACATATTCTCTTTAATAAATCTATAAAATAAGGAATGGATGGTAAGTGTTGGCCTATCGAATTAGAATCGACTAGGTATCCACATGATCCAATATTTTAAATTGTAATAGGTAATAAAAGTGGGTTCGGATTTTGAGAGAACGACGAGAAGCGTATGATTGCACTGCAAATTAAAAGGACAAAACATAGATGTCAATGGGGCCCAAAGAGTTCTTTTGAATTAGCAACGTAAGTAATCGATCTCCTTGCCATAAGACAATCACAACAAATGTATGAGAGTCAAAAGTCTCATCACTAATGTCTCTTTGACCGCCAAGAAAATACAAAAAGAAAACCATCTTTCATCCCAAAAAGAAAAAATAATTCATTCTTTTTTTTCATGTCACATTTCACTTTATAAAATTAAATGGACTAATTTTTAAAGTTTATTAAGTTATTTTAATTTAATAAATTAAATTTTAAATTTAAATATTAAAATTTTATTAAAATATTATAACTTATTATATTTTACATTAATATTATAAAAATATGGATTAAATATCATTTTAAAATTCATATAATTTAATTCTCGAAAAGTAGGGATTAAAAAAAATACAGGGAGTAATTATTATTACTATGTTGCTGTTCTCACTAATAATTTTCCAAACTTTGACTGGGGTTGTCACTTTAATCGAGGGCTCCCTCTTAGTTGAATTTCGAGGTACTTTTTCTTTTGATAGCACCGTTAATTGACAATCATGTCCCTACAACCTTTTCATATTTTAGTGTTCTTAGAATCCATTTGATAAAATTATTTTCATTCATTCGTTTTTAATTTATTTAATTTTTGTTTTTAATTGATTTACTTTTTAAATTTCATTTTAATGAAACTATTTTCTTAATTTTAATTTTCACATGATATGATTAAAAATAAAAGATTAAAGAATTGATATATTTTAAATTAAGATTAGAAGATTAATTTTTTTTTGTTTTCTTAAATGTCATGTCAAGTTAAAATATTACAAATAAATTAAAACGGAGTTTAAAAATAACTTTTTCTCTTTAAAAAATAGTATTTAAATAAATATTTCTAAATATATGTGATTGTATTTTGAATTTAGACAACAACTTATAACTTGTTTTTCAACTCACTTTTCACTTTTAAAATTATATTAACATACATTAAGCATGAACATTATTCCAAGTAAGCTTCAACACCGGCTGTCCTTCTATTTTATCGGGAGGAACGAGCCCAGGCACCTCCCATTTTTTTTTTTACAAATATTCTATTTTAAACTTCAACTTCATAAGTTCAAAATAAAATAAAAATATTTAAAATTTATAGTATAACGCCTACTTATCCTTCCAATCAATTTTAGTGATACAAGTAAGCTAAAATTATCAAGGTTTATTGACTAATAAATCATTTTAAATTATTAGAGTCATGATCATAGTTAGTTATCTTATTTAAATTGTACTAGTGACATGTTATTGAGCGAATAAGTCAATATTTGGCTATATTTTTATTGTGATATTAAATTTACTTAAATACAAGATTATCCACAACAAAATTTAATAAAAAATATCAAAGATGAAATGAGGCAACAATCAACATTATTTAAGCTAAGTTTTATTGTAAATCACAAATTTAAATTTAAAAAGTGTATGGATTTTCAATAAATAAAAAAAGAACAAAAATGAAAAAAAACAACAACAATAATAATATATATAATATTTTATAAGTAAAATTCAAATATGATATAACAAATGCAAATTTTACCCAACTTTTACGGAAATGAGTAAAAAAAATAAACTACTCTTGGTATAGTCTAGCTCAAAATAGGATTGAATGGAAAATGAAACGTTTTTATGAGGGAACATAATTAAGAAAACAATTATTGACATAGTGAGTTTACTATTTCACCCCTACTAATTATGAAGTGAATGAATTAAAAATTTAAGATTTTCAAGAAATTATACCTTTTTCAAAGTAATTAATTGAGGGTATAATAGATAAAATTATTTTGTCATTTCTTGATTTGTCAAAATAGACATGTAATTAGGGACCGAGAGAGTATTAGGTGGGGTGATTTTTCCTTTAATAAAAAAGGAAAAGAGAATTAATGATTTAAATTGAAAAATTTGCTAGTTTAATTTTATGGAAAAAATAGTTAATAGGGGCAAAAGAGTCTTTGTGATGAGATAAGAATAAAGTGGCATGTTTCTTAATTGAGAAATTTACTCATGGGGGTTTGAGTGTTTGACTACTGCTTCTTTCTACTCCATTTCTATCAACCTTTTCTCTCTCAAAAAAATCAATCTGCCGTTTCTCATTTGACTCTCCTCTCTCTTTAGGGTTTCTTAGCTCATCGAAACGTTAAACCTTACAATACTTCAAACATCGATCAATACAATTTGCTGAAGCACGCAATTTTTCAAGGTTCGTTTTCTATGAATTGATAATTTAGTTTGTTATTATGAATCCTTGTTGTTGTTGCCAAAGATCTTTGTGTTTGCTGTTTAGATAAGTTTATTATTATTTCTGCTTTTCCAAGAAAAAAAACACAATTTCTACTGGATCATCCTATTCAATTTGAATGTCAAATTCAGAAGAACAATTTTGGCCTTTTCTTTTATTGTTTTGAAAATTCACGGCTTATATGTTTAATGCCAGTATGTTGTAATTGATTGCGTATCACCTTTTGTTTTGTTGGAATTTAGATAATTTTATTTATTTAGTATATCCGTTTGTTCGCTTGTTGATTTTTTGCCTCTCATGTGTTTGGAACCTAGGAAGTTATGTTTATATTGGAATTATGTAATTCTCTAGATTTGATGATTTGTAAAACATGAAGGTTAAATTGAAATTGAGTTGTGTGGTCGTATTTCGCGATTGAATTGTAAGTTTGTTTATGCTACTGATTTGGCAGGACTGTATAAACAACAAAGATGGGTTGTTTCACAGTTTTAAAAAGTAAGAAGAAGAAGTCTGAACAGAGTATTCACATCAAACGTGTGAATCCTCAGGAACATTCTCCTACTGCATTGCCCGAGCCTCAAGTGCAGACACGGTCGTTGCAGTCGGCACCTCCAAGTTTTAGAACTAGAGTAAAACCTGTACAGTCGAGTAATAGAGTTACAAGCAGTAGGGCGCGGGCACTCTCTGCCCCATCTAGCCTGGACTCAGCAGAACAAGATGTAGCATCAAATGAATGTGAGGAACATGATGAGTTCAAGAGTCGTATTGGTTCAATCAAGGAGTACCAATCACCAAGTCCTCAGCCTCTTCCTCTTCCATCTCCACAGAGTGCCGCTGCCACTCTCAAGACTATGGGAAGCTTTAAAGTTGGCAATGCCAGCGGTCCTTTAAATGCCTCTGGACCCCTGCCACTGCCTCCTACACTGCCTTCAACATTGCCTTCTACTGGAGCACTCAGGAACTTCTCATTTGAAGAACTTGCTGCTGCCTGCCACCGCTTCTCACCTGAACGGTGTATGTCAGAAGGTCTCTCTTCTGTTATTTACAGAGCTTCTTTTGGAGATGATGCAACTGGTACAAAGAAGCTTGAAGCCACTGTAACCCGGCTTCATCCTTCTTCGCAGGTATGATTTATTGACTTTGAATTATCTTGCGTGTACTTATCATTTTTTGGCCCCCCTCTCTTTTTTCCTTTTGATTGGGTGAGGAGGGGGTCGGCATCTTTTTTCTGATTGCCATGTGATATCTAATATTGGGAAGGCTCATACTTTGGCTAGATTAGTGGTTTTGTTTCTTCATCATCTAACATATGTAATTTTAGAGAAGCAAGGTTGCTATCCAGAGGTTGAATTTCTGGGATGCAACTCCTGCGTCACACTGTATTGAAAATTTTCATTTGTAGATCATGTCAGGGAAAAAATGGTCTGAATTTCTTGGTTTAAATTTAGGATACAATTTGGCAGGTTACTTGCTTCTACAATTCTTTATGAGTTTTGTAAGAGTCACTATCTTTTGGCTTTTCAGGGGTTGAAGGAATTTGTGACTGAGGTGAACACACTAGCTTCTTTGCAACATCCATCACTTTGTAAACTGATTGGTTTCCATGCACGGGAAGGTTCCGAGCACAGAATGTTGGTTTATGAAAGGCTTTTTCATGGAAGCTTAGACCGGCTTTTGTTTGGGAGGTCAGATGGTCCACCGATAGACTGGAATGCTCGAACGAAAATTGCTTTATGTGCTGCTCAAGGTCTCACATTCCTGCATGAGGAAGGACCTTTTCAGGTGGCAATGCTGCTTCCTAAACCTGTAGTCTAATCATGGTTGCCTTCATTTTCTCTATGCAACCTTGTATTACTCCATGTTACCTTTGTGTCTCTTTATTGAGGAATCTCCATTTTTTTATATAGGGGTAGGCCTATATATTGCTAAGTTTTTTATTTCCTGTGACAGGCAATGTTCCATGAATTTTCCACTGCAAATATACAAATTGATAAGGATTGCAGTGCAAAGCTCTCGGGATATGGATGCATTACTCATATACAAGAGACAGACATATCATGCAGTTCAGCTGTAAGTTCTCCTATGTTAACAGTTGCCGAACACTCATCTCTCTCTCTCTATCATACACCCTGGTCTTAAAAGTTCCACTAACAATCGGGGTCGCCTAGTAGTTGCCTGGGCATAGTGATCAGTGTGATATCAGCATACCCTGTATACTACACCACTAATTGGTAGTGTAAATGAATAGGATCTTTGCAACTATGCAGGTTCTGTGTAATAGTTGAGGCTCATGTTTATTGGATGTGGTTCTTAATAGCTGCATATAGCCATAGTTTGTGTCCCATTTGGCCATAAAAATTGTTTCACTAGTTCAACTTGAACCTGAAATAAACCAAAGTTTGTGGTTTTACTATTTTGTCCATTATATTATCTCCAACTTGAGATAGAGAATTTGATATCGAAAAACTTGTTTGAGGAGTATTTCAAGTGAAATAATAGTTCACTGACAAAACATGACTTCAACTTCCAAATTCAACTGGAAGTCATGATTAAACATGACTTTGACTTCCAAATTTTATTTATTTTTTCAATGTAAACTTCAATTACTTCTTTCTTTTTTCAACTTCAACCAAATATTGTCCAAACTCCTAACTAGTATTTGCTCTATGTATATTTCATCTTTGTGAATTTTAAAAGAAAAAGAGGTATTTGTGCCACTCGCTAGGTCTAATTGGCATTTTAGCATGTGTTCTGCTTGAAGTTGTTCACACTCTGTGACCTCTTCAAAGATCCTAGAACTTTCTTGTTAATAATATTGAGTTTTTCAGGCCCTGGCAAATCTCTCTGAGGAGACTCTGGAGCGAGGATTGGTAACTCCGAAGAGCAATGTTTGGAGTTTTGGGATTGTTCTTCTTGAGCTGCTGACTGGCCGGAAGAATTTTGACAGTCGGCATCCAAAGGAAGAGAGGAATTTAGTGAAGTGGAGCAGGCCTTTCCTAGCTGATGACGGTAGATTATCGCTAATCATGGACCCTCAGTTAAAAGGTCGGTTCCCTGCCAAAGCAGCAAGAACAGTGGCTGATATTGCTCAAAGATGTCTGCAAAAGGATCCATCTGAAAGGCCCACCATGAGAACTGTAGTGGAGCAACTCAAGGCTGTACAAGTGATGAAGTACCCTTCTAGGTTTCCTCTTCAAGAGCCATGGGCAGTTGGTGTAAAACGCATGTCAAAGTCTCCGAGCCTAAATGGAATCATTACCCCAACATCAAGATTGAGCTTCACCCCTTCACCACCAACCCACCCTTTATCTATTTCTCCGACAAGGACAGCTGCTCCACTGCTGTCTCTACCTTCATGTTCCTCCATCCTCTCTATGGAGGACTTTGATCGATTGGAAAACCGAAGGCCATCATCTTCATCTGTTCGGAGGTCTAGTGTCGAAGGATTTTGATCGATTGTAGAGCATTTTTTTCTTCAAATTGCTTTTTTTCGTTTTTGGGCCCTTCCCTTTTGACAAGTGATTACATGAAAAGATATAGAAGATAAGCACATGGTTTTCCACCTTCCCTTTCCTCATGGGAGAAGATGTGGGGAATGCCATTTTGTAAATATGGTATCCATTTGGTTTAAGTAGTGTTCCCTAATCGAGATCCTGAGGGAGATATTAATGTTGCTTGTTATCGTTTTTCTTGTTTGCTTACAACCGCCGCTGCCTGGAAAAGAAATAGACAAGGAAAAAGAAAGAGAAGATGATTGGAAAATCCAGGTTAGGTGCTGTAAAAGAACGTAATTTGCATAAGAAGGGTATCTTAAAGAGCAATTGTTGCTTCAGTGCTGTAAAAGAAGGTAATTTGGATAATAAGGTATCTCAAAGAATATTTAACAAGAATTTTGCGATAGGCATGAAAAGAGATGTTTTCAACTTGACAGCAGTGAGGCTGGTGCAAGCATGCTACTGCTGTATCTTTTGAAGGGGAGTATTAGTGGAACTGGTAAAGTTGTTATCTTGAGTTCAATTTGTGGAAATAGTCTCTCGTAGAAATGCAGGGTGGTGTTGCGTACAATAGACCCATAGCGAAAATTTAGTGCACCGAGCTATCTTTTATTTGTAAGCTGGTACTGTGGTGAATGTTCAAGAGTCCTTGTATCATTAAGTTTCTAAAACTTGGAAAAACAGGACCATTAACAAGGTGAGGAAGCTATACATCTCAATTTTCAATTTCAGCAGATGAGACAGTAATTGCAGCAATTTTCCTATACTACAGTAAATATACTAAAAACCTCTTTACAACAAAGCTTGCCATCAAAATAAACTAAGAATTAATTCAAGTAAGTTCGAGTCGATTATATGAATCCTCAATTCAAAATCTCATCCCCCGGCGAATATACCTCGGTTTATTTCTTGTCGCCACCCCACATTTCAGTGCTAAACCATACAAGTAACAAGCATTCAATATCATTCCTTTTTGATTCAGCTCATTGATCAACAAGTTAAATGGAACTTTACTAGGAGACTTTCCATCTTTCATCATAAGAACAAAAACTAACGCCGCCTTCTCAACTTCTCCCTCCAAACAAAGTACACGAATGAGATTAGAGAAGGTGAATGCCTTGGGAGAATTCCCAATTCTAACAATCTCATACAAATTCTCCAGTGCTTTATCCAGCTTGTTACCACTACAAAAAGCTTCAATAACCAGCTCATAACCAACAGGATCTACAACCAGTTTTCGGCTCCGCATTTTTACAAACACTTGATATGCATCTTGTAAGAGTTCTTTCTGTTTCCTAGATAGCCTGCATAACCCTCTCAACAACGTATTCATCATCCTCTCATCAACCCCAAATTCAAGTTTCAACATCTCCTTGTAAATCGATAAAGCAGCTTCAATTTTCCCCCATTTCAACAACCCATGTAACAATGTGCTGTAAGTGATATGATCAGGCATACATTTTTCCTCTTTCATTTTCCTCAACAAACCAATCCCATCTAAAGGTCTGCCTTCTTTAAAATACCCATTAAACAGAGTATTGTAAGTAACTACATTAGGGGTCAACCCCATTTCCATAGCTTCTTCAAGCAATTCCAATGCCTCATTGGACCTACCCACCTTACAGAAACCATCCATAACAGCAGTATAAGTATACATATCAGGTTTTATCTTAGATTTCTTGATATTCATAAGCAAGTCATAGGCTTCCTCTACTCTACCAAGAAAACAAAGACCTTTAAGCAAGCAATTGTAAGTATGAATTGTGGGTTCACATCCAATTTGACCCATAACATCAAAAACCTGATGGGCTTGTTGTAATTTTCCAGCTTTGCAGAATGAATTGATGAGAGTTGTAAAAGTTTCAACTTTTGGTTGAAACCCATGTTCCAACATGTGACCTAAAATGGATTTGGCTGTTTCAGGGTCATCTTTTTTGCAGTACAAATTGACCCAAATTGAGTATGTGTATTCATTGGGTGTCAATGCATAAAATGATGAAGATGAGGTCAGTTTCAAAGCTAGCTCAAACTCATCTTCTAAAACTAAAGATGCAAGTTGATGATTGAAATCAGATATGGTTTGAAACCCACCATTTTTTGAAGCTTGAACAACATCTGGATTAATAGTATCAAGAAATAGAGGAGTGCAAGTTTGTTTGTGAGCAAAGTGAATCTGGGTTCCATTTTTGTTTAGAGAAGTGGATAGTAGAGGCGTAACAGAGAAAACCAGGTGTTGCTGGCTAGGGGAGAGAACTTGGCTAGGGGAGAGAGCTGAACAAGGCATAGCAGTTTAGCAATAGCAAAAACTTTGAGCAATTTACAAGACTTTTATTATAGGTTATTATTATTATCAAACGTATTATTTCATATTTATAAATATTTTCTTAATAAATTATCCAAATTCATCGAATGTGAAATTTTGGTTTGGGAGCTCATAGAGGCTAGAGGGATATTTAATCTTCTCTTTTTTCTATATGCTTAACATATACTCCCACTGTCTCAATTTATGTGCCAAGGAGGCATGGATCAGGGAACGGAGGGAGTATAAATTAAATAATAATACTAATAATAATAAGAAGAAGAAGAAGAAGTGAGGTCTGAAGATGGTAGTACACATGTAGACGAGAAAATGTCATAAATAGTCCATCAACTATACTTTTTGTCGGATTTAATGTTGTAACTATTCAAAAACTTATTAACTTTGGTCATTGAACTATACACTCACCGATTTTAGTAATTTAAGTATTCAAAAACATATCTTTGGTATAGTTAATGGACCAAATCTAATAAGTTTTTGATTAGTTGAAGGACTGAGTCTAACAAAAGTATAGTTAAGGGACTATTTATGACATTTTGTCTATGCAGACCTTCTAAATAAGAATGTGAACAATGCAAATTTTAATTTTAAAAAATATAATATAAAATTAGAAATAATAAAATCTGACTCAAAATTTTGAGAAGTTGATATAATGATATTGAGATAGTGTTACGCATAATTTGATAAGTTGATACAATGTTTTCGAAATAGTGTTGTTGAATTTGATATAATGATATCGAAATAGTGTTGTGTTGCTTCAACATAATGATAACTTGTTGAAATGCTTTGCAATTTTGAAGAAGACACCAAAATCTAATTTTTTTTAAACGACAACAATATTTTTTTGCAGAATGCAGAAGGGAAGGTTTGACTATATATTTAGGAGACTTCAGTCAATAATAAGAGAATAAAAATAGCGAATGACAGAATGGAATAGATAAATATAAGAATAATAATGTGTTCATGTTAGTTGTCAAGATATAAATGAGGCAACAAATAGATAGTCATGATAAAAAAAAAATGATACCACAATTATCTAAAACCTATTACATTTTATTACAATAATCCTTATTAAAAGGAAAAAAATTATTATGTTTTATATCCCACAATTTCTTTTCAGCTACATTTATCAAATTGTGGTGTCTATGATGGATTTTGATGAAACGATTATGTTGACAACTATGATTTATGAATTATGATCAAATCAAATTTTGCGAACAAAGATAGTTCAAACATATGAAAATCATTTGTTTTGAGGAGTTTTGGTTTGGAATAATGGAGGTACAATCTTAGGAGCTAAAACAAAGAGGCTCTAACGATTAGGGGGAATAAGCGGTAGTATCGATGTAATTTTTGCTTGAGAGTGCTTATATGAGGTCTACTATTTTCAGTTGCTCGACAGTTTGGGTATTTTTCTTGTCTGTTCTAGATCAATGAATAATATTTAAATGGTCGGTGATGTAATGACTTGCATGGTAGGTTTTTCCTTTTGAAACTATTTTTTCAACCTTTTGATAGCTTCATTATGTTATTTATGACTTGCAAGAATGGGTGACACAATTTTCAAGGTGATCAAATAATGATTGATTGAGATTTTCAAGTTTGAAATTTAAGAAGTTTGACTAAAGTCATATTTCAGATAAGTGAGGTAGATTTTGAGTTCTGATAGTTCTGTTAGGTTCCAGAAGTGATTTTTGATTTAGTTGAATGATTGATTCGGGTCATGATGTATGTTCGGGAGTGATTTAGGCCGTTTAATTGAATTTTTGAGTTTTGAGGAAGTTAAATTTGACCATGATCAAATTTTGGTCAAGAAAACCTCAAATGAGTGATTTGATGATTCCAACAAGTCTGTAATATGTTTTATAATCTATTTGTACTATTCATTTGCGTCCAGAGGATCTCAAATGAGTTTTGAATGCTTGTTCGAAGATTGATGTTTAAACGTGTTAAGCTTTAATGGTACCACTTAACGTAAACCAACTTGAAATGGTATTTGTATTGAACCATTAGATCTGTATCGTAATTTGGAAACCATAGCAAAAATAATTGCCGCATTTCAAGTTTGTATAAGGAAGTTATGATCTTTTTATTGAAACTAGTCGTTGTTGGGGCTTCATCGTAACGAAGGAAGGACCACAACAGAGGACCCACAAGTGTGGAAGTGGATCCACAGGTGTCGCGCTAGAGCGAAGAGGGGCCCATGGAAGTGAAGGTCCCTGAAGGTTAAATTTTATATTGATTTTAATTCACTAAAAAATAAATTTTGAGAGATAGAGAGCTCTGTTTGAGATAATTTTTATACCTTTTTCTCATATAAACGTTGGGTATGTGTGTAGATAGTAAAATTCGCGTCGAGAAAATAATAATCAAGAATGGAAAAGTATTGCAACAATCGTATTTATTAATTTCAAAGTGCGAGTGTTACAAACTCTATGATTCCTCTTAATTCGCCTTTTCAGATATAATTCAAGGGCTCTTGAGCTTGATCTTGAATTTGTTCTTGGGATTCAAGGCCCTTTGGAGCTTGTTCCTGAATCTTTGATAAATCAGAACTTGATCTTGATCTTGATCTTGACTTCATACTTGAATTCAAGAGTTTCGAGCTTGATCTTGAATCTTGTAGTCTTGATCTTGATTTGTGGATCTGATGAACTTATTATGGACTTGAACTTGATCTTGGATTCAAGGGCTTTGGAGCTTGTTCTTGAATCTTTGATGAGCTTGAACTTTATCTTGACTTTAATTTGAAATCAAGGGCTTCGAGCTTGATCTTGAATCTTATAGTCTTGATCTTGATTTGTGGATTTGATCATTAACTTGATGATCTTGATCTTGGATTCAAGGGCTTTGGAGCT